GGGGGTGTGTCTGTCCCCCATTGTCGAGGAAGGAGGGGGGGGGGGGGGGGGGGGAAGGGAGGAAGGGTAGTGGGGTGTCGATGTTGTGGTTGCAAGTGGCAGTATTTGCACATGTTGATAAGGGAAATGGGACAAATGGCCATCCTTTAGAAGATGGGACAAATGGCCATCCATTAGAAGAGGGCAGTTCAACAGAAACCGGTTCGCCAGATGTGCATGTATTTTTGGAAAGGGGGGATGAAAAAGAAGGCAAAACAGAGTCCGGGAAAAAAACATCTGAGAAATTTCAAAAAATGGAATTTCTCGTCTGTCACATAAGTGCCCAGGGGATATTGTGGAGGAGTGACAGTGGCCGTATACTGTATGCTAGTTGGAACTGTGAAGTCGCAGGTTCAACCGATAGGTCCTGAAAGAACTATATATAATAGCGAGCACTTTCAGTTAACTTCCCTGTTTGACAAGGTTCAGACGGAACCCGACATAATTACAGTTGTCTTTTCCCTTTGGGTGATGATCATGAGATACATGCGCCGAGTCGTTTTTCCCATATAATGTCTGAGTCATGAGTCCCTATTTTCTCCACAATACACCTGCCAGTGGCTGTCCACACCGTGTAAATACAGATGGCACAGGGGTATCTTAGACAGTCCGAAGATTATAGGTGGAGTCGGGTCGGGTGCTGTGTTGGCCGTTTGGAACATGAGTACTTAAAAGAGTAGTGAGCATTGGACGTTGCCCGAGTAGACGAGGCAGAAGGCTGATGCTGGAGCGATCATTGAGCGCTTCACTTCAGAATCTATGGACAGGGCAGAACGGCGATGCTGGAGTGTTGGTCACACTGATTGCTTCAGTTATTTTATGTCCACATTGTCCACAACGAGACAAAAGTCTCACATGATGTGCAATGCTTTCTCACATGAAATTTTCTTTGCTCCAAATTTGCTGTCTAAGACTTCCCTTAACATCCTTCTTTTATATTGAAAAAGGAAAGAGGTGAATAGTCAGACAAACTGGGCCAATAGTCTGTGCCAGCTCATGCTCGTTTCTTGCGGATGTGCTGTGCCTTCTGCACTGCGAATGTGCCACCTTCTGCTCTGTGTATGCGAATCCAAGAATTGAACACAGCCTACGGCTTGCCAGGCAGACACCTAACCAATATTAGTCAGATCCGATGGAACTGTTCTAGCCACACATTACTGTATTCATGTGGGTTTACCGGGATTCAAACTCATTATTTGCTTACTTGCTGTTAGTACGCGGCGATTCGTGTGTGTTTAAGCTGCCAGTATGTTTCCCAGACCTTATTTCAGAGACGCAACGGCGGCGGCGACGGCGTGCATGCTCCCGCGTTGGGCGGGATGTCGCGGGGTGCCAGTTCGCTGGAGGTCCATCCAGGCAGAATGGGTTGCATGCAAGGCCGGTTTCGCCCGGATGAATTTGAGTGAAATGGCACCCCAGTACATCCCGACCGATGCGGCAGCATGCACGCCGCATCTCTAAAAAATTGGCTTGGAAATGTACTGGTGGTTTTCGGACCCTTTTTAAAGCATATTGCAATGACTTGCCGGTTTCTGGTCGCCTTTACCCTCTCTCTTGTTGGGGCTGTACCATTTGTAGGTCAGATTCGTAATTTTGTTTGGCTGAGGGCTAACCGAGAGACCTGCCTGTATGGAAATCCGGTAGGGACATATCTGCAAATTTCCCTGAGTGGTCAGTTTGGGTAAGGTAGAGGCTGAGAGGCCAAAACTGAAATGGACCGGTCAGTCCAGTCAGTCCGGTCTAGGTCGAGTCTAGGCTAGTTAAGACTATAGATAGGATGGATACATCGGTTCAGGGCTTTTGTCAGTTGGTACCGAGTACATCGCTGCTGTGCAATGCGTGAACTGGAAGTGGTGACAGCTCAGCGTTGAGGGAGACAGACATAGCCAGACCTTCGGAGCGCTGGCCATAGCTGGGACCTGCGCTGTACTCTGTCAGCACGTGGGGCTGTACAGAGGTCTGGTTTAGAGTTCTGCTGGAGGCAAGGGAAGTTGGTGCCCTGCTGGGCCCTCCTCCAGAGTGGGGTTCCAGAGGGGTGGCGCTGCTGCAGACTTTCACCTGGGAAGTCTTTCGACACTTCGTCATCATCAGATACCACGGCGCTGGTCTTCTTCTTCATCCTCTGAGTGGCGCTTGGCCTCAGAGGCCTGTTTCAGGGTGGCGCTTCTCTTTGGAGGCTGTATCCGGGTGGCGCTTGATGTTTCAAGGACTCAGGGGTAGTGATAGCGGTTCATCAGGGAGTGAAGCGCTGCTCATCTCTGAGCAGCGCATCATAGTTCTGACTCTTCTGAGGTTATTCTGACAATTCAAGTCTCAAGAGTATAATAAACAGTGTGGATACTGAGTTCAGACTATCATTGCTTCATTGTATCTTGGATGTGATCTACTCGGCTTTCCTTCATGACTGGTTGTGAGGATTGAGTGGAGTGAATTGCACTTTCAGTGTGCCCTGTCATATCGCATGGTCAAGTCTCTCGCTGTGTTTATCTCTCCCTGTGCGGTGTGATACTCCTATCCTCTCCCCTTCCTTCTGTGTATGTATGGGCATACCTGGGAATCTATGTGAGTGAGTGTTGGTCTGCAGACAACAGACAACCAGAATCATAACAATATAATATCCATATGCAGCTGCACACTCAGCAGGACTCTACGTCATCTGATCATTTTATGTCAGTCTCACAGCAAATTAGAAGCGCTTTTTTTTTTTTTTATTATTATTATTATTATTATTTTTTTTTAACAAATTAGGAGAATTTAGGTCCTCCAGTTGCTCCATCTATTAGTGGGGAGCTGCACCTGCGGGAGGCCGGGGGTCAAGTCCCACTTACCCGTATAATGGATTTCTGACCGCAGATTTGGAAGATCAATGACCAGAAATCAAGGATCAACGTTAGTGGGACTTGGCCCCGGTCCAACGTCCCTTCCTACAGCATTTTTCACAGTCTGAGAATATAGGTGGGGGTCTGCCTCTTCTTTCCCCCAGGGGGCCAAGAGATACTGGCCGTCGATCTTTGTATATCTGATAGTGTAGTTCTGAATCCGTGCAAGTGGGACTTCCCCCCGGGCCCCTCCAAAACTAATTTACAAACAATGCCGGACACGGCAGATTTTGAGTTCGTAAAGGCATAACAAACAGTGTCACGCACCGACAAAGAAATCATGGACCGACTTCGAAACGGCAATTTCGGTCGAAAAGGATCCGTTGTTTTTTTTGTTTTTTTTTTTCCTCCCCCCCCCTCGCCCCCCTTTCCCAATCTGACACCAGGGCCGACCCCTGTCGAATATGACATCCGGCCTGACACCACGGCTGCGGTACTTTCATTGCCCTTTTCGAACACGCGCCTGGTTTCGTTGCCAATGCATGTTCCCCCCCCCCCCCTATGATGTGACAATGAACGTACTGACGTACTTCCCTCAATGCTAATGCTTTATGAGCAGCTGATTGTATGCGGGTGGCCCTTAATTAACACGAACCTTGTGATTTTCTGTTGTGATGTGCTCTCCTTCCATTTGTGTTGCAGCCTTGCCAGTCGTGCTGGATGTTGTCGTCAACACACCAACAGGCAAACAGATCATTGTGAAGGTGAGCTCCTGTCCCCTGGACATAACTGTTACAGAGAATGAAACGAGTGGATCTGATTGAACAGGAGACATTTTACTATACCAACCTGTAGAACTCTCTCTTGCAGTTGGGCCTCACGCAGTACCTGCGAATCATGGGAAATGAAGTGTACCTTTCCAGATTCAATGGATGTATACACACACTGCCCTTTCCTTATGTTGGCAAGTAGTGCAGAGAGGCCCGTTCAGACGGAATTAGCGGCGAATCAATCGCTGTTGTTACGGTTTCCACATGTCCTAGTTTCCTTAATCCCCACTAACCTTTCCAGACCACCTGTGGTTATCAGGACGCTTGTCTGACAGTGTTTTTTCCAGTTAGCTCCAGTTTACTGAGGACCCAATGACCGCATGTGTTTCTTCTGTGGTGGTAGCGATTGGGCTGATTCTTCTGAAAGACATGTTGAAGTTGTTTCTGAAACCAAATCGAGTTCGGTCGTTTTGTTTCAAATTTTGTGTATCATTCTCTCCAGAGGCTCCCTTTGTTCTCTTCTTAGGTCGTTTTGTATCAAATTTTGTGTTTCTTCTGGGATGCATCTGCCTGCAATTATGGTCACATGCTCTTGCCAAAGGGTTGTTGTAGTGTAAGTATGCACTTTTACAGTCTCCCGTGCGTCCTTGGTTTTATTACAGCCAGTGAGTGTTGAGGCTGTCTTCATCGCTATGGGACTGAGGAGCAATAGTGGAAAACCAAGGTTCCTGGCTACGTTTTTTTTTTTTTGTGTTTTTTTTTTTTTTTTTTTTTTTTTTTTTTTTTTTTTTTTTTTTTTTTTTTTNTTTTTTTTAATTTTGACCATTTCTTGATTTATGCGTGTCATCCTTGCGCAGGGGCCTTGCTAATCTTCTCTTTCTCTGTATCGTTCCTAATTTTAACGGATGTCCCGAAGGACTGGCTACGGTTTTCACACCAATTCCTAGGCTCTTTTTCCCAAGGCTGGAAACACCCTGCGCATAAAAAAAAATTAAAAAAATGAACTGGCCTGGGCCTCCTCCTCGGTGGTGCTGCCATCCATTTTGCACCGCCTGCTGACCCCCGAAAGTTGTGGCGTGCATGCACGGCCTCGTCAGCGAAAAATGGCCGGGAAACGTACTGGTGGTTTAAGAGATGCCTCCCATTGAGCTTCGTTTTCTACAGCCAATCTCTTAACCCGGAAAAACCGGGACCTACCGAGCCCAGCAGGCATTGGGATTTATCTGTCCCAGACAAGTCTGGAAAAGGAACTTGCATGAGCTTACCGTCCCGTCTTCGGCCGAGGACACCTCACGGTCATGATGAATGCATACAAGCTATGTTGCTGGTCTGGTGCGGTCATCTTGAGGGTGCATTCGGGGGAAGATGCTAGCATTTGTGGGGCAGAGGTATTCTGAAATTGGAGATGGTTTATCTGGGTATAAGTTTGTCCGTAAGTGAAAGGAAGTATAAAATATATCAGACAGCAGCGGTCATGATGTAGATAGATACCAGGGGTGAGGTCCCCATTGCACAAATTAAGAGATATAAAGTCGCCATTGGTCTTTGCTGTGTATGACCGATGTCTCTTAAATCCGAGCAAGACTTAGTGGGAACTTGCCCCAGAAGTCGCTGCACTGTGTGGGATAATCGGAAGATGCACCCCCAATGCGAGCCAAAACGTTTTTGGTTTATCGGGCCCAAACATTGCTGGTTTGATGGAAAGGGCCAGTGGCACAGGCATTGCAGGCTGTTGCCACACTGTGTGGGATAATTGGAAGATATGGCCCATGCGAAAACCTTTTTGGTTTATCGGGCCCAAAAATTGTGCTGGTCTAATTGAAAGGGCCCACAGGCATTGCACATCTTGTGATCGGGGATTCGGTCTGCCCATTCTGCATCTTTCTACGGGATTGTGAACCTGACATTATATTTGCACTAGATGCATTTTCGAGTATGCCTTTTTAAAAGAAAATATTATTTTATTATTATTATTTTTCTTCTTCTTTTCTGTTTTTTTGAAAACTGAGCTATTTTCTTCGCTCGATTTCACCTTTCACTATCTACCTACCACTACTCCTAAGCCTATACAGGACCCCTTGCAAGCATAGCTACCACTCACAATTAAGGGGATGCATGTTGCCCCCCGCCCTAATCGGTGGTGGTCAGGCAGTAGGGCGGGGTCGCAGGTGCTGGTGGGGGGCGGCGGCTAATGCAGGACCGAGCATTTTGCCAGTAGCTGTGCCTCCCATCTGCTTTCCCCACCCCCCATCGAGTAGCAGCAGTGGCTATGGCCAACACTCTCCGGTGGGGGGCGGCAGCTAATGCAGGACCGAACATTTTGCCAGTAGCTGTGCCTCCCATCTGCTTCCCCCACCCCCCATCGAGTAGCAGCAGTGGCTATGGAGAACACTCTCCCACACACCACACACAACCCACTCACGCTCGCACTCACACCCGTGTTGGCCATAATAGACCCTAATACCGATCAGGGGTATCAAGCCGACTATCACAGTCGGTTGGCACTAAGTGCGCCGTATCAGCAGGCGGTCATGGGCCTCGATCTGAAAGGTTTTCACGTCGGCCCGTGGGCCGTATCTGCCGGTTATCTCAGCTTGGAAAGCTGGAGCTGATAATTTTGGGTACAATTTTTATATATTGTAAGAGGAACCGCCAGTGCATTCAATTTGCTAGGGCAAACTTGAGAATCGAAAAGGAGTCATCCCGAAAAAAGTTTGGAAACTTGGGGCAGCACAGCAAAATGGCTGGTGGCGCCAGCTCCCTAAGAAAGAAAGCGCTCCGCGCAGGGGTTTCATTCAGCAAAGCTTGGTGGGCAGGGGGAAAAATAGGCTCAGGTATACTGGTGGTTTCCGAAAGTGGTACTACTATTATTCCCTTCTATGATCGTGCCGTTGACGAACGGAGGGGAAGGCAGTGCGGGGGCCGCACGGTACACTATGCGTCTATTCCAGACAGGCCTGTGACCCTATGAGGCATGGTACTTGTAGGGGTGAACTTACGAGAACTGGAGCGGCAGCGGATTCGGCTCCGTGACATGGAAAATATTTTTTAATGTGAACCTGACGTGAAGACGTTTCGATGACGTCATCCCCATGATCTTCCTCCTGTATATCACTGGCAGTTTTTTGTGAGTGCAGCACATCGTCATGATGTCTTTGCAACGTGAAATGAGGGTTGTACTCGTTATTTATAACTTATTTATTATTCGCCACTCATTTCGTATCATTTACAATTCATTTACTTGTTTTTTATCCTGAAGAGGACACTTGAACCCTAATAGACAGAAGGACAGGACAGGACAGGACAGGACAGCAAAGGGACAGGAAAGGGACAGGAAAGGAATTGTGCAAGTTCGAATTCAATTTGGTGCTAAGATGTGGGGAAATTTATGTTGACACTGCAGGGAATATCAACAGATAAGATTTTGGATGTGCGGAGATTGCTAGCGGAGCATGTGGAGACCTGTCACATCACCAGATATGGCTTGTCGCACGAGGTGAGTGTTTCCCCGTCCGTTTTTTTTTTTTTTTTTTTTTTTTTTTTTTAAAAGGGTTTTTTGAATTTTTTTTTTTTTTTTTTTTTTTTAAAAAGGTTATTTGAACTCATTTTTCGTTTCGTATCTTTGTGAAATGTAGAATGATGACATGCTCTCCATCAAGAACCTTGAGTGAACTGGTCAGTAGTCAACAAGTAACTGCTATTGAAATTTTCACAGATAAATTCCTTTGTGCTTACGACATCGGCTTAGAAAAGACCCAACTTCTTTTGATTTTGTCCGTCTGTGGCGTCGCAGCATTTCCGTCGAGTCGCGTCGACCTCTCTGCCGAATTGTAATTGGTCGCTGTGTGTCTGCTTCTTGTAGGTGGGCTTTAGTAGGTTGGCCTGAAGATGTCTGCGTCATTCCTTGTTCACTGGACTGGCTGCTTGCTGGCTTCTGTGATATCTGACTGGGCCTGTTCTGGACTGGTGTTGTGTGATCTTGTGCTTGGGCACCACTGGGTGAGGGGCGATGGATGGAATGGGTGAATGATGGATGGGTGAACGATGGATGGGATGGGTCTTGAGCAATGGCAGATAAGGGGCGCAGATCTTCGAGAATCACTGGAGATTACAGCTCTCAAGCCATGTGTGCTTACCATGGTGGAAGGTGAGTGAAGCAAAGTTGGATGGACTGATGATGGATTGTGTTATTGATATTTAAAAGACATTGTGCCCAGGTTTAAGCTTGAGAAGCTGGGCTACCAGAGTGGCCCGGGTCCACTTGCCCGGCTGGGCCAAAAATATATTAAAAAAAATAATAATAAAAGTTTGGATTGTGTTATTGATTTTTAAAAGACATTGTGCCCTGGTTTAAGCTTGAGAAGCTGGGCTACCAGAGTGGCCCGGGTCCACTTGCCCGGCCGGGCCAAAAATATATTAAAAAACTAGAAATTAAAAAAAATAAAAGTTTAGTTTCTAATTAAAAATTCTATTTAATATTTGGTACAGAATTTCGATGCGACCCTGAGGCAAAGGTTGTTCAGTTTATTTTTCTGCATAACATAGTTTTTATTTTCCGGATTTTTTGGAGTTTTTTTTTTTGGTTTGTTTGGCTGGGACCTTTGCTGGTCCTTGCACGGCCGGGCCGCCCGGGAAAACAGGGTGACCGGGGCGGGCCGGCTGGTAGCCTAGTTGAGAAGCTGGGAATCAGTTAAAAAAAAAAAGGAAATGCGAATTGCCATCTTTTTTGTCTGTCGAATGAATTAATTGGGCTTTGTTGAAAAACCCAGAAAATGCCCCAATTTGAAAATTCTCTTTTGGGGGTCCCCTGTCGTTAGGACTGCATACAATCCAGATACATCCAGCTTTTTCGGAGGGTCTGGCGGACCCTCAGAAGGTCATTTTTGCCATTCTTTTGGGGCTTTTCATCAAAATTCATTCCGATTTCATTCAACGTAAAGAAATCTCTCCGTTTTGACGAATGCAGAAAATCTCTCCGTTTTGACGAATGGCATTCCAATCTGTTGGCAGAGAGAAAGGTTACTTCTTCTTTTTTTTTTTTTTTTTTTTTTTTTGTGCTGATTAAGGGGTTCTGGAACCTGTTAGCAAAAACGGTAATGCTGTGACTCTTGTGAGTTTGAATTGGTGAGGTATGATCTCACAAAAGTCAAAATTAATTCGCTAGCAGAAAGCCGGTGCTTTCTGGCTCGGGAGCAATTGCAAGTGTGGTGTTGTGTGTAGTCATCGAAAGACTTGCCTTAAGAAGTAAAAGGACTGCTTGATTCTCTTTGATGTTTAAATTTGTAGTACGGACGACTATGAAATATGTTAGGGCAGGCTGCAAATTTGTAGTACGGGCGCCTATGAGATATGTTAGGCCAGACTGCAATGCATGTATAATATAAGTAAGTTACTAAGTTCGTTCTATCGGTTTCGTCAGTCACAAAATGAACGTTTTTCTGGAAATTCTCTAGGGTAAACTCTTGTATAGTATTAGTTAATAGTTTTATCGGGTTCAGGAATTGAAATCCTTGAGTGGATAATCCCCTTGCATTAAAACACCAGTACGTGGCCCAGATATCGGCCGTGGAAAAAAAAATAAAAATAGAGTAGAAAGTACTAGAAACGTTTCTAGTCGGATGAATTTGGGCCCTCCTGTAGTGGCCCGTACGTTTCCTATAAAATCGTGGCTTGTTAACGGGCACAGCTTTCGGAAGCACTGGTGGTTTTGAAGTTGAAGAAGTTAAAGACGGCTGTTTGAACGTCGTCGTGTTTTGCGCTACGGCTGACGAGGACTTGTCAATGATATGTTAGGGTAAACTGCATGAAGTGCCATGAACTAAATTTAGACATAATTTGCATCTACGGGGCCGGTAATCCCGGGATTCCGAAAACGTCCGAGTTGTTAATCCCATCCCATCAGTCTACTGTTGTATGATGTCTTGACAGGTTGACTTTTGGTGGTTTTGTTTTCCTCTTGGTTTTCGGTTGTAAAATTATGTGTTCGCAGACGAGTACAAAGACGAGGAGTCAGTGATCGTACATGTGCGTCGTCTTCTGGACTTGATTGCCTGCACCACATCGTTTGGTCCATCCGCAAAGGAGAGAGAGAGGGAGAGGGAATCACAAGAATCATCAGCTTCTGGAGCTGGATCGGGGCAGCAGGCAGCTGTTGCGGGGTCGGTGCCAGCTTCAGCATCGGCTGTGCCGCCTGCAGACAGGGATGCACTGAAGCAGGATCCAAGCTCACCGAAGGCAGATGGCGCACCCGAGAATGCTGACCGGCTCAGTGAGAATGGGGTTAGCGGCGCAAAGTCCCGGGACGAAATGGAAAACGGTACTACTCAATCTGCCAATGCACCTTCTGCTTCTCCAACGAATCCTCCTTTGGCGGCAGTGGAGGCACGGTCTGCAAATGGGGAGTCAGTCAACACGTCAAACGTCGACAATGGCGATGAGCGTCTGGAGACGGCAGAGCAGGGTGAAGCGTCAAGGCCCATGGAGGAGGAGGAGGAGGAGGAGCAAGCTGGATCTGGGGCGGTTCGGGAAAACACCAGCAAAGACGGTGGAAGTGGGAATGGATGTGGGGGTGGGAGGGGGGGGGAGAAGGAGGCATCGGCTGCTGTTAAAGACAATGACAGTTCGATGGTGAAAGGCAGTGGTGGTACTTCGTTGTCTTCTCCCGATGGCTCAAAGTCGAAGAATGCCAAGACAGAGGCAGCGGCAGCCATGGCTGCTGCAGCGGCAGCTACAGAGAAGGGTGACATGACAGGGATGTGCCCTCCCTCCATGCTTGGACAATTCTACGAGTTCTTCTCTATGTCCCATCTTACGCCCCCAATTTTGTGTAAGTATACCGACCTAATGCTCTACACTGAAGAACACCATACTCTTTTAGTAATCTGGTTTACCACTGACCTCTCTGCTTTTTCTCCTCCGCATCACACTCCCTTCTCCTTTCTCTACTCAAGTTTCTGAAAATGGTTGACTGACGTGTGCCGTGAAACTGTCAGCATTACTGTTTCATTATGACCACTGCCTTCAAGTTACTGCAAAGCAATTACGCTGCTTGATATTGCTGTGACCGAGTTCATTCATAGAAGGAGAGGCAAAGGCCAAAAGCACAAAGCTCAAACGAGGACAGAAAGGCCCTATCGACCGAGACAGAGAGACATGACGAGTGGCACAGAAAGGGAAGGAAACATGTGTGTGTGTGTGCGTGTGTGTGTGTGTGTGTTGTGCGCCTCAACAAGTGCATTTCGAACTCCAACCCTGACTGTGCCGTAGTTTTCCTCGTTTCTTTTTGTTCTCTCTCTCTCTCTCTTTATAAAATTTCCCCCCCTCCTCCTCTTGTCCCTTACAACGAAGATCCACTCAACACTACCCTTTGTTATGGTACAGGGAACCTGGGACAGCAGCATTGATTGCGTCCGTTCTTAGGAAGACTGTACCACTGTCCACCCCTGCTTATCCTCCACTGCATCAGAAAAGACTTTCTGATTAGAAAATGCCTTTATCAACCGGTGTTTACTAAACTTAAGGTGTGACCCTTCTCACACCAACAACAACATCAGCGTCGAGTAGGTCTTTAACCTATTGGTGGTACAAATAAGTTCCGCCATCTCGTTGCGAGTTGGAGCAGCAGCAGTTGGTCCAACCTACCGTCTTCCCCCGATTACAACGCACGGGCATTATTGCTGAATTTGGTGTATCTTTGGGTCTAAATTCAGCTATAATGACCGTACGTTGTATTCGGGGGAAGACTGTAGGCTGGTCCTTAATCAACCCCTCTAGTCTGCCATGGGGATGTTTTTTATTTCTTCAAAAAAGTAAGGAAAAAAAAAGGCGGCCTAAACTGGGATCTTGAAAATGGGCCGACCCTCTCAGCCCTTCTAGTACTCCATGGACTACCAAAATAAAATGTGAGGCATTGCGGGGTGAAGAACAGCTACTATTTTTCTTTTTTGGGAGGTATCTACCCTTGCTCCATCCCTGTACAGACTTGACAACAAGTGTGCCCCACTGAGCGGTTCCGTGCCTTTTTTTCATGGGTCCAAGGCGTTTGGTTCTGTTCTTCTGCGGCTGTTCATTTTATCAGAGTTATGCTTGGATCCCACAACAGTGCGTTTTGAAGAAAAAGTCGGAAAAGTACCCAGGCTGAGAGTCGTGTCCACGCCAACCGGTTCGTAAGAACGCATGTGGATCCCATAGGCCCGACGGGGAAGGCACTTCGTCACAAATTTTGCCGACACGCACTCCGTCCCAACACCATCTACGGACATCCAACGGCCAACGACCAGGAACCGACAACAGAAAAAAGGGAAAACCCAATTTTGCAGAGGCACCTACTTTCAGGGGGAGGGGGTAGGGGTCGGGAGCTTTTGGAAATTCGTTCATGAAACCAGCCACGACTCTCTCCCGTGCTGCCATGATGGAGGCCCAGAGAGGAAACAGCCGAATTATTTTCGCTGTCCGCTCACCGCGGAAACATGTGAGATTGTGGGATCCAAGCCTTATTCGGAGTTCGTCCAACTCTGTATTTTGGAAGCGTCAACAGTATTATATTGAAATACGCTTGTACTCGATTCTGTTGGTTATATAACTTATATTGGAATGTACAACACCTTAGAAAACTTCCAGCAAAACGCAAGTCCAATAATACCATCTACAGGCAAAAATAACGTATTACATTTTCGTAAATTTGTGCTATCTTTATAATTAGCATGATCATAAGATTCATAACCACAGATATAAACAGAACAGCAACAGTTCCCAACGCTCTGGTCAGTATGGTTATGGTGGTTTGTATAACGTCTTCGGACTTTTGCCTTCTTCTGGAAGACAGCTGGAAGCCTGCAAGAATTATTGTGCTACGTTTTCTTCACATCTTTTTGCTTGCCAATGGCTGGTGTTTGATGAAAGTTCATGGAACTATCATGGAACTATCACTTGTCAATTATTATGGATGAATGGTTCAGATTCCTTTGGAAATATGATGATACTGTTTTTTTTCATTTGAGCATATTGATGTCCGGCGGATGGCATTGTTTTTGTAACTAGTAGCGGTGAAGGAAGGGCTGCAGTTATGTCATGATAGGGAGTCAGTCTCTCTAGGAAAGAAGGGCGTTTTCTTGCCCCTCTTTCATTGTGCCTTTGCATTTTAATGTCCTGTTGCTTGTTTTGTTCACTGTGTTGTCGGATGTTTTTATGATGATGGTCACAGCTATCCGGCACTCCAAGAAGCCGCCTCCTGCAGAGAAATGCTCTGAAAGCGACATCATGTATCTGGATGTAAGTAACGACATGATGATTGGATCTGTGCACGAATCATCCTCCGTTCACTTCCGAATCATCTGAACAGTCTGCATGAGGCATAACTGTCGCCCTATAATTAACAACGGTCATCAGAATGGTCTGCAGTGGCAGTAGTCCGGCGACGGGTTCCTCCATCACGTCCATAACAGGACATCATTTCATGTTCCAGCATTTCATGCATGCAAGGAGCCTTCATAGGACAAGTATCACGGGATGATTATCACATAGAAGTAACGCCTAGATTGCCTCCTTTTGCCAGGATGGTCAAACTGAAGAGGGCCTGTTTTCTTCGCGCACGCGCGCGCGTGTGTGTGTGTGTGTGTGTGTGTGTGTGTGTGTGTGAGAGAGAGAGAGAGAGAGAGAGAGAGAGAGAGAGAGAGAGAGAGAGAGA